CGGCGCTGGCCGGTGTGATTGGTACCACGCGTGCGCATGGAACGGCTATCGGCGTGCTGCTGTGCACTACCGACGGTGACTGGGCACTGGTGCCACGCGACTGGCCACTGCCGTGCGCTGGCTACGTGATACGCAAGTGGTTACTAACCCTGGTGAGTCCGAGGAAGAGACCAGCGATGATCTCCATATTTGGCTAGAGAACATGCTTGAGGAGTCACATGGTGAGGATTATCGACCTTCTTGTAGGCGAGATTGGCCAAGAGGTTGTGGCGATAGGTCGAGGACAAGGTCAAGGAGGCGCAAGGCCAAGCGAGCTAGGGGGCAACGCAAGTCGAGGACTAATGCGAGGGTTAATTGGTGCGGGTCTTGTGCGAGGAAGCGACGTGCTTGGCAAATGGAGGCTAAGAGAATGGGCGCGCGAGGGGTGGAAGATGGGTGGAAGATGTGCGCGGGCGATTGTTGTGGGCCACCGAACGGATGTGAATGGACGGGCATAACCGATGGGCGAATAAGCAAATGGCGCGCATCGGGCCTTGATGCGCACGGGTGGCCAGTGAGCGGGAGAGTGCGTGTGAAGGAGTGAGCTGCACGCGGTTGGCACTGGACGCACGAGGGTGCGCGGTAGGCGATTGGAGCACGGGCATTGGCGGGACGCGCTCGGTATCAGCGGGGAGCAAAGGCAATGGCGAGATGGCTGGCGTGCGCGGCACTCGCGCAGGTGGTGGAGACGCGCTGCAGTCGGGACGCGAGCGCGCGGTGCACGCGGACAGCGACGCGTGGGCGTACGTGGGCGAAGGCCTAAGCCGAGTAGGCATAGGCAAGACGGGTGACGCGCATACGGGAGAAGACCGCGACCGAGCGGGCATAGGAGTACTGGGCGCGCGGTACCACGCGCGAGAGAAAGGCGGCGCAGGAGAGGCGCGGCGATAGCGCGCGCATGCATGGGAGGCGCGAGCGAAGCTGAGTCCGCCGAGGACTATGCCTCGCGGGCAGCGCGCGCATGGCGGTTGGGTTAGGATCGGTCGACTTGAGCTTCAAGCCATTGGATTGGAGTGCAAGTCAAGTATTTAGGAGATCTAGTATTATTAGGAGTTTATTAGTAGGAGATATTTACTTTCCTTGTTGCATTAGAATTTCTAGTAGTATTAGGATTTAATATTTTATTAGTGATCTAGTTGGAGTAGGATTAGAGGTATTTAGGATGTATAAATAGAGATGTTCGCTCATTGTTTTTCATTTCCAGAATTGATGAGTTAATTGAAAAGAATGTTGTGTTCATTCGTGTCTTTAAGCAAGGCCATGATTGCGTGTTTATCATACAACTGTGTCCAAGAGAAGGCCCTGAGAGCGTCTTGAAGTCACACCTATTGTGTTTAGTCGAAGGCCCCGAGTGCGCGATTATCCACAAAGCATAGGCAAAATCACGATCCCTCATCATTGGTGCTTTCGTTGAGAGAATCCAATCGTCTTTTTGCCTATTTTATCTTTTTATTTTTCACTTTTTTCTTTTGCTGAGGGGGCCAAATTTTTTCTTTATTTTGTTCAAATTTTCCCTTCTTTTCTTCAATGTTTTTGTGAGTTTTGAGAGTTAGTGTAAAAAAAAGGGAGTCGAGAGTCTTAAAAAAAAATGTTGTCAAACCGTGAAAGAATAGAAGCGTTGGAAGAGAGCTTGAAGACCATTGGTGATGGCCAACATGCAACCAACGAGAATTTGGCAAAGATAGAGCTCATGGTCCACGATCTAGCCGGGTAACTCACGCGCATGTCACATCGGCCACGAAGAAGTCGCGAGACACGGTCGACCACGGCGTCCAGCAACACCTAGGCCGACCATGAGGACGACGATTGGCAATCGAGAGCGACGCACGCATCGCGCAGGCACCATCACCGTGAGGAACAGCGACGGCACGGGGAGCGTGCGACGCACCACCACCGCGGCGAACGACACCACGAGGAACGGGCGTACACACGGCCGAAGCTTACCATGCCCACGTTCACGGGAGTTAATCCAGATGCGTGGCTTAGTCGGGCTGTGCAATTTTTTGAGATCAACGATGTGCCAAGGTACGAAAGAGTTCAAATTGTTGCTTATCATCTGGATGGGGAAGCGAATGTTTGGTGGTAGTGGATTTTGCATAAGAATAATGGTGAGCACATGTGTTGGAGGGATTTCGAAAGGGAGCTCATCACGAGGTTTGGTTCTAATGATAACTTTGATTATGATGAAGCTTTGTCGAGGATACGTTAAGTTGGTAGACTTCGTGATTATCAAAAGGAGTTTGAGTGGATTGCTTGTAGGGTTCGGGATTGGCCCGAGAGTGCGCTAGTAGAAGCGTTTGTTGGGGGACTGAAAGCCGATTTGGCGGCTGAAGTGCGAATGTATAGGACGAGATCAACACGAGCGGTAATAGAGTCGGCCAGGTTGCACGAGGATCACCTCACGGCGGTGCGCAAGGCAAGACCGAGCGACGCCTGCACATAGTGATGAAGATCGTGTGTTTCGATTGCCGATAAGCCGCTAACCCGCGCCTTGAATCGCCGATAGTGTTTCTCTAGCCACAACCGCGCCTAATGAAACGAATAAAATTGCAATAGAATTCTGGTGAAAATCTAAAGCAAAGTGGAAGAACAAAAGTTCTGGATTTCTATTAATTCTTGAATGATCAAAAATAACATGGGGGAAGGGCCTTTATATAGGCACAAGATTTGTCTAAGTCTAATCTACCTAGGAAACTAAATAAGCAATAAAATATTAAGTATCCTAATTAAGCTAGATATCATTGTGCAAGATAGAAACTAAATAACTTGGCTTTCACTCCAAGGGATCTCCCTCTATCTCTCTCGCACGCCCGCCGCCTCACGCCAACTGCCCATACGCGTCGCCTAATCCTTGCGGCAGTAGGGCGCATTGTCCTCGCGTGCGCGTGTGCGTGTGCATCCACCAGCCGTGTCTCGCAAGTCCTCGCGGTCAGCGGTTCCTTCGCGCGCGTGCTCTCCAGCCAGTACGCACTCCTCGAGGACTGCGGCATCGCGCCCCTCGTGTGTCCCTCATCAGGCATGTCCCGCGTGCCTTTGCTTCCGACCGCTTCCTCGCGCGCGTGTTGCCCCGCCTTGCCGCATGCCTTGAGGCATAAGGCCTTGCCTGTTGCGCGCGTAGTACCGTCGCACGCTGTACCCGTGCGCGCTCCTTCGCCTTGCGCGCGCGCTGCATCCGTCTCGCACGCGTCGCGCGCACATGCCCCTGCCGCCTTTGTGCATCCACCCGTGCGCTGACCATTTCCGCTCGCCCTGCCTGCACTACGCTCGAGTGCGCGTATTTCCGCATTTTCCCGTGCTAACCTCTTACGTGCGTGGTAAGCGCGACTCGCGGCGTTCTTGAGCTGCCTAGACACTTCCGCATCATTCCCGTCCCCTTCAAGCACTTCCTTGTCCTCAAGGATGAAATTCGGGAATTGATCACGCATCTCGTCAAGATCTTCCCATGTGGCTTCTTCAGATGGCAACTCTTCCCAGTCAACCAGTACTTCCCAACAATAGCGTCCTGCTTTCCTTACCTTGGGGTACTCAATCGCTCGTTTTGGACGTACTATGACCCTACCATCGACTGCGGTTGCTGGTAACTCCTTACTCGAATGTATCAACAGAACCATTTTCTTTTTTCTCCTAATGATTCTAACCAAAATACGACTTCTGCGCTTCTCCTAAACTCCTCTTGAGTTGTGAGACATGGATAACAGGGTGGATCTGTGAACTTTCTGGCAGTTCTAGACGATAAGCTACCTGACCAATGCACTTCAGAACCTGATAAGGATCGTAATAGCGAACTGCCAGCTTAGTTGCTGCCCTTTGTGCTGTTGTGCGCTATCTGAATGGTCGTAGCTTTAGATAAACATACTCCCCTGGTACAAAGTTTTCCTCACGCCTTTTTCCATCAGCGAAGGCTTTAGTGCGGTTAATTGAGCCTTCGAGGTTTTTCTTTAATTCTCGCAACATCAAATCCCGTTCCTCGAATTCTCGACCAACCTCGTCGTTGACTGTACTTCCTTCTGAATAGTTGATCAACGTCGGGGGCTTACGCCCGTATACCAGCTCAAACGGCGTCATCTTGGTTAACTCATGATAAGTGGTGTTGTACCAATACTCAGCCCAAGGCAAAAAGTTTTCCCACCTCTTTGGAAATTGATGGACATAGCACCTTAAGTACTGCTCGAGAGTTCGGTTGGTTACCTCAGTTTGTCCGTCTGTCTGTGGGTGGTAGGCTGAGCTCATAGATAACTTGGTCCCTTGCAACTTAAAGAATTCAGACCAAAAGCTGCTCATAAAGATCCGGTCTCGATCAGAGACGATAGATCGTGGTGCCCCATGCAGTTTCATCACGTACTCCACAAATAGCCTGGCAATTGACTCTGAAGTGTAAGGATGAGTGATGGGTATGAAGTGAGCATACTTTGTGAATCGATCTACCACGACCATAACACCGTTAAATCCATTAGAACTCGGTAACCCTTCTATGAAATCCATAGTAATATCTTCCCAGATTGCCTCGGGTACTGGTAGAGGTTGTAACAGTCCGCTTGGCCATCGTGAGTCAGCCTTAGTGCGTTAACAATCATCGCACCGTGCTATGTAATCTCAGACCATATTCTGCTGTCCTGGCCAAAAGAAAGTATTGGCTATTCTCATCCATGTGCGGTAGATACCCGAAAGGCCTCCAATCTTAGGATCGTGGAAGTGCTGCATGATCTGCTCGCGTAACTGCCCACTGTCGGGAACGAATACTCAGCCTCGGTGTAGAAGCAGACCATTGTGCAACTCATAATCAACAGCAGTCGTCTTACCTGCTTCGATCGCTTGGCGCAACTCCTGGCAATAAGTGTCCTCCTCTTGCGCCTTCCTGACTTCCTCCTAAATAGTCCAAGCCGGTCCAGTGATAGCATTAAGCTCAGCTACATAAGTCCGTCTGGATAGTGCGACAACTACTGCATTCTGTCGGCCCGGCCGGTAGACTATCTCAAAGTCAAACCCCATAAGTTTCGATACGAACTTCTGCTGCTCGGGGGTAACAATCCTTTGCTCGAGTAGATGCTTGAGCGGCTGTTGGTCGGTCACAATCGGAAAGTGTCGTCCCAATAGATAAGGACTCCAGCACTTTACAGCCTCGACAACTGCTAGCATCTCCTTCACGTACACAGATAGACCTAGTCGAGTCGTGCCTAGTGCCTTGCTAAGATAGGCTAAGGGTCGTCCTTCTTGCACTAGCACCACTCCAATCCGAATGTCACACGCATCTGTGTGTACCTCGAACAAGACATCAAACCTCGGCATGGCGAGAACTGGTATTGTAGTCATGGCGACTTTCAGTTTCCCAAACGCCTCCTCGCTAGCCACGGTCCATGTGAACCCACCTTTCTTAGTCATCTCTGTCAGTGGCTTGGCGATGGTTCCATAATCCTTCACAAACTTCCGGTAATAGCCCGTGAGCCCTAGGAATCCCCTCAACTGTGTGAGACTTGTCGGCTTAGGCCAGTCGACCATCGCCTCTATCTTTCGTGGATCGACCTTCACGCCTTCGTGGGATATGAAATGCCCTAGATACTCAACCATCTTCTGCCCGAATGAACACTTGGATGGCTTAATGTGAAATGAGTTGGCCTCCAAGATTTCGAGCACCACTCTAAGTGCTCAAGATGTTTAGCCCACGACTTTGAATATATCAAGATATCATCAAAGAATACTAGAACAAACTTACGGAGGTGCTCCTTGAAGATGGAATTCATAGCAAACTGGAAAGTGGAGGGAGCGTTGCATAACCCGAATGGCATCACCAAATACTCATAGTGCCTTTGATGCGTACGAAAAGCTGTCTTTGGTATGTTGGCCCTGTGGAGTCGAATCTGATGATAACCAGCTCTCAGATTGAGCTTTGAGAAGTAACGTGATCCAGCTAACTCATCGAGCATGTCGTCGACACTAGGAGTAGGAAATCGGTCTTTGATAGTCGCGACATTCAGAGCTCGGTAGTCAGTACAAAACCTCCACGTGCCATCTTTCTTTTTTGCCAATAGTACTGGTGATGAGAATGGACTTGAACTATGCTGAATTAACCCAGACTCTAGCATCTCGGCTACTTGCCGTTCGATCTCAGTTTTCTGAAAATGAGCGTACCTATAAGGGTGGACATGTATAGCGTGCTGCTCATTAATCAGTGGTATGCGATGATCGAATTCTCGGTGTGGCAGTAGACCCTTAGGCTCGCCCAACACTCCTTTAAATTCTTCGAGAAGCTCGCGCACATCTCCTTGTTGATGCTCGTCCTGGTTTATGTGCGCCTCAGTGTTCTCGACTACTACTGCAAAGATTTGGCCTCCACCTCGCCAAACTCTTTCGATGCTCTTCAGTGCTACTTCCTTGGTACCTTTTTCGTTGCCATCTCTCAGAGTGACTTGTCGACCTCTAGATTGAACTCCATAATTCCCGTTCGATAGTCGGTAGTCACCTTGCCTAACCCTTCGAGCCACTGTACTCCCAGAACGACATCCGGCCCAACCAAAGGTAAGGCGTAGAGGTCAGCCTTCACAGTAACTCCGTTGAACTTGATTGGCACCTTCTGGAATGACTCAGTACATTGTAGCCTTTCACCATTGGCTACTCGTACTTCAAAGGGCTCGATCTTTGTGGTTGGCAACTTCAGCTTTTGCGATAAGTCAGCATTAATAAAATTATGCGACAATCCATTGTCTACGAGTACGATTACCCTTCGACCCTTGACCCACGCTGGTAGTCGCATCGTCCTTGGCCCTCTGATTCCAGCCATTGCGTGCATCGAGATTTCTGGTTCCTCATCGAATGCTTCTAAGTTACCTGTTGGCTCTGGTTCTTCCTCAACTTTAGCTTCCTCATCGTCGGAGTTGGCCACCTCAATTACAAAGGCCTGTTTGCATTGATGACCTGGGGTAAACTTTTCTTCGTACTTAAAGCAGAGGCCTTTCTCACGTCTCCGCTTGACTTCCTCAGGCGACAACCGCCTGACTACTGGCCCCGATGGTCGTGCATTGTAGGCTGGTCTCACGCTCGCGGTTGCTTGGCTCGGGCCCGTGCGACGCGTATCGGTAAACCGGGCATCCGCCCGTCCCCTTCGTGTGGCAACTAGATGGTCTTCTCGTCGTCGGGCAACCTCCATTGCTGCGTGCATCGTGTTTGGCCGCTCGAGTCGAACTTCAGCGGCTAGATCAAACTTTAGTCCGCCTATGAAGGTCCCCACCAATGTTACCTCGGGCCAATCTCGCACGCGACATGCTAGACGTTCGAACTCCTTAATGTATTCACGCAAATTTCCTGCCTGGCGTATTCGTGCGAGAGCCTCATTATAATTGTGGTAATCGGACGTACCGAACCGTGTAAGCAACTCTCTTTCAAAAACATCCCAAGTGATAATTTGCTGTCGCTTACGGTAAATCCTTGTGAGCCATTGCCACCATACATTGCCCTCACCATGAAGATAATATGCGGCGTGGCGTACCTTACACGATCTGGGCCGTCGGTTTCGTTGAGCTCAAAATATTGCATCGCCCTGTTGAGCCATGCATCCGGATCGCTGCTCGTGAACATGGACAACGTGATACGTGGCTTATCGGGTACACGTCGCTCGCGGTAGTTAGATGCTTGGGACTGTCGGTCGAAATCCTCCTCGCATTCGTACTCTTCCCGTCGTGCCTCGCCATCATTTCTTTCACGGTCATGGGGTCGCGCGTGCTCCTGCTGCCGTGGTGGTGGTAGGCGCGCGAGCACTTTGCGTGCCATCTCATCAAAATGCCTATTCACGGTTTCCATCAGATCTTGCACTGTTGCCTTGGTATTGTCGTGTCCTTCGCCCAGCGTATCGATGGCTTCGCTCATGCCACGGAATTGGACATCAAGATTATCGATTTTATCCTTCATCTCTTTATTGGTCATGGCTTTCCTTTCCTCTCTTCGCTCTTTGTTTTGCGGACTCGTGTTTGAAGATGAATATGATGATGAACGATTTTTTTTTTTTT